ACTCCTGAGTGTAATAGAGAAGAAATGCTGGGAGACAGAGGTGCAGCGATGTGAATGCCTCCAGGCTGCCAATGTCCTTTTGAGGGGCCTTAGAAGAGAGGCGATTCTACTCTATGGCAATATGGAAATATGTTCATTTTATCAATAAGGTTACATTTCTTATGAGAGCAGCTGAAAAGCCCATTGTATTTTTTGTTTTGACGGAGTGAAGTTCTGATGGAGAATAGATCTTGTCCCTTCTCCTTTTTGGCCATGACATTGTGAAAATATCTGTGTATTGGAATGTTAAGATGAGAAGAGGCTTCTGTGTGTGTGCCCTCTTGACTTCTTGAGTCGTTTACTTGCCTTCCTCACTTGTGTTTCGGTGGGCAATGCAGTGCGTGGTCTGAGGCAGATCTACATTTGTACAAACGTAACAAATTCAGGTAAGAAAATCTGGATAAATCCCAAATTTGTGCGTAAAATGTTCATAGGCTTTGTTCAAGCACAGATTTGTGCGATGGATTTGGACATACATTTTTCAAGGACTTACTATACTGTGTTGTTTAACTGCAAGGCAGCTTTGCATGTTGGGAAACATATTTTTCCGTTGTATACTCTACCCTGCATCGTCCCTGGGCTATTCTTTTTGAAAATGTTTGAGTGAATAGAGAAGAAAGGGTTTTTATTATTAGTACATATTTGACATTTTCATATCCATGTACATATCATGGTACAATAACTTATGTAAGAATGTGATGGCTGTGCTAGTGTACTTGCATTATAGATGCGTTATCTCACTATTCTAATTTAATTTGTAATCAAACTAAATGTGAAAGCAAGCACAGCACATTTCCATTCATATTCTTTTTTTAGTAAATTGATTAATTGCTTTGTTGCTTGGTGGTTCCCTTTTTTTAATGTGCCCACTTAATGAGCGGAGTGATGCTCTCTTCCATGTGTTCATATTAAAGGCGGTCCCATCCCTGAATTGTTTTGATGGGCATTTGCTGTTTTGTTTTTATTCTACCATTATTATTTATTTTCATCTTCTCCATAATTATTCAACCTATAGAGCAGTGACTGTTTGACTGGGACAAGTGCACAATTATACATTTAAGTGTTCTACATAATGCATTCATTTTCAAGCCGTCGAGGTCATTTGCTGGAGGGCCATTAGTGTCGAGAGGGGCCCCTCTTTACCTGGTAACACGGCAGCTGCCTAATGCCCAATGCTTAAGAGGAGCATGCCACGGTATACCAGAGTAGCCGGGCAGATACATTTATACAACACACTCACTAATGGAGTAAGAGTGATGCCTATACTTGTGTTCATATTTGTGCTTCATGGCCCCTGAATCTAACGGCCCACACTTTATTTGGCAATCAAGGCGACGGGGTAGTGACGCTTGTGTGTCTGAGGAGAGGGTTGAAGGAGTGGAGGATGGGGGGGGTGACACTGTGAACCCCTGATGGCCTTTCTGCTGGGTAGCCATGGCAACATCTAGCCCCAGTCGTTAATGAGGCACAAGTGAGCCGTTAACAGAATACTGATTTGGGTTTGACATCAGCCCTGATTCATATCTGTCGGTAGGTGTTGATGAAATATGCACCCCGAGTTTGTTTATAAGCGCACATAAAAATAGCCTCGGTGTTCTGCTCATGCGGGCGAATCCAAAGCAAAATGTGCTCAGTGTGGATGTTTAGAGTAATTATGTTAGTCACCGTGCTGTATGTAAGGAAGCTGGCAAAATCCATCCACTATGCTGTCTGCAATTTCAATAATTGCCCTGTTGCAGATTTATTTATACCCCCACATAAACTATAATATATCATGATATATTTAAATCCTGGTCTGTGCCCCACAATTCAGAGAAAGTGATTATAAAAGCTCTCTTTGTAGATCGGTCATGTGAAGTGAAGGCAAAGCTCTGACTGAGCATGCATGTGCCCTTCACTAGTTCCTATGCGTATGAATTATTTATCGAGGGCGCTGGGCACAACTGGTGGTAGGAGGGGTGAGAGGAGCATCATTGACTGGCACCGCGACGACGCCGTCTGTGTTGATCTCAAAGCGCCGCTCTCTGCCGAGTGACCTTCCACGAGTGGCAGAGGTTAGCGACGCCCGGCGCTGCTTCACAGAGTCCGAATTAACCAGCCGGCTCCCAAATTGCTCTCTCTCTCTCTCCCTATCTGCCTGTGTGGCGTGGCGTGTCATGCTGTAAATGATGAGCGCATTAACAGTATAGTGAGGGGACTAACTTGCTGCTTCACACCGAGCAGTTAAAAGCATAGCTGTGAGGTATCATTTACTGCGGTGGCAGCTAATGAGCGGATGCTACAGTGGGGAAGGCGACGGTAATAAGCACAGACTTACCATCTTAACACAGGTTAGGATTCAGCAGCAGGAGGTGGGTGTTGGTGAAGTATTTACAAGTAATCTGATGCTCAGGTGGCACATCGGATCGTTCTCGTTCTCGTATAACACAAACTCATGGGAGATCACTCTAGAACTGGGTATTATTAGAAATGTTACCTGACATTGAGGGATATTGACATGTCTTTGAATTTATTTCTCCATTTTTTCTTTTAATGTAAGGTTTCATAAAGCATTAAATGGCATAAAATGAAGATGAACCGGCCTGTGATGTGTTCCTAGCTGCCATGTAAGCATATCCAGTTAATTCAGAATGTGTTTACAGCATTTAAGCTTCGGATCCAAAAATGGCTGGTTATAGAGCAATCGCCTCCAAGGAGAGAACGTACTTAAAATGCAATTGAAAATGTCCAAAGTTCCAATCGAAAATGAGCAACGTTTTTTAACCAGGCAGTCGGTGGCAATCACCACGGTTGTGATTGTGCGAGTGCGCTATTTTAATTGTATTTATGTGGACACCGGATGTGATTGAATCACAACTCCATCTGTTGTTCTTTGTGTCGATAGAAAGCACACCTTAGTGATTCAAGTTTATCTGTGATGGAAAGAGCCCTCTAGGGCATTAGAGGAGGCCAGACAGATCGAATTAGAATCCAGATATCTATAAATAAGCTTCTCCAGGTTTTACGCCTTAAAAGAAGTGTGTTCAATATCATCCATCATTAATAATTAAAAGGAAGTCTGCATTTGTGGCCACTCCCCTGTCTCCATGTGGTCGGAAATGGATTTTCTACAAAAGCTAAGATACAGTTTATACTCTCTGCTGCCAATGTTAATCTATTTACATACTTAACTGTTTTCATCCATGTTACTTTATTGGATTTAAAACGCTCTAATCCTGAAAATGTGGACTCAATTGGATGTTTTTCAGAGGTGCAAATGATGAGCTGGTGAAATGTAGAATGATCCGCCAATATCAGGTGCAGGTAGTTTATTACAGGGAACGATCTGGCCACATCTCGGTGATACATCCTGTGTAATTGACGGAGCACTCCTGAGGCGCAGCAGGGCTGACGGAGTAAGAATGGAGATTAAGGAAGGAAGTGAACAAACATGACGCATGAAGTGTGTAAGAGGGGTGGGGGGTACGGCATTGACTGTATGAAAAAAAAAAAAAAAAGGGGGGGCGTAGCTGTCTCTGTGAGGTCACCCGTGGGTTTCTGAAGAGCCCTTGTAAAGCTCAAAGTGGGTGAGTCCGTCACCGTCTTGGCAGTGACAACACAGCCACCACCCAACTCTTTAGATGGGAACGAGCTAACGGAGAGCGACCTGAGACAACCTTTTTCTCAAAGCGGCCACGCTATAGCTATAGAATCTTAGCTATAGGGCTCAAAACCTTCTTTTGGAGCCAGCCTCGGGTGGCAATTTGAACAACTGCAGTTTTTGGCACCTCTGCCTTTCCTTCCTTTCTCAGCACCGGAGGTCGCCCCTTGGGCAGACCAAGTCGCTTGAAGGTGATGTGCGAGGGATCGCTGGTCAACTAGCGGCGAGAGCCAAGAGCATGTCACTTCCTCCGTCTGCCATGTCTGCTTGGCCACTGACAGCAATCCATTTGAAGGCCTCCTGGTACTAACAGAGTGCTAAAACCCAATCAAACAGCCTGGAAGGAAAAGGCGAGACGCTCGGGGCCCCAGTCAGCTTCCACTTGTGTGAGCGCCTCACCTCTGACTGAACCCGTTCAGGCGTCTTTAATAATCCATGCGCATCGTGGATGGCAGAAAAGCCACATTTGAGGACCTGATGATGGTACGTAAAAGCTGGAGTGTGCTTTAGGAAATCAAAGGACTCCATGTTTGCCCCCAAGGTTAAATGACAGTAAAATGGCATTTCAAAAAATAAGACACAATTTAATACAATGCATTTTGTATGCATCAAAAAATGTATTTTATTGTTTGCTCTCTGTTCAATTTAGCATTGCAGACAGAAAAAGCGATGGGACAAGAGATTAATAAAATCATCAGTCGACCATGCACTAATGCCGAACAGGATTACAATATTTGACTCAAATCAATACTTACCAGCAGCATGACTTCAGTCGGTGCCACCTCAAGGAAGCTTCTAAAGTTCTACAAAAGATCAGAGGAAGTTAGCTGCTGGAAGCATAATCAAATGGCATCTGTCGGTGCTGTGAGCTGTGTTGGACCGTGTCCACTTGCACCCTGGTTTGCTTTGGTTTCAACTCCCCTTGAAATGTTTGGTGAGAATATAATTAGCTAGCACTGGGCAAGCACAGCCTCGTTTGAAACGGGCTACACTGGGCGTCTGTTTTTCTCTTCTCCTTCCCTCGTGTGGTATTGCACACAGAATTTACTCTGACAAAATGCTAATTAATATTTCCCCTCCATTGTTGAAGAGGAGAGGGGACGCATGAGCTCTGGTGCCAGGATCCAGGAGGGCACTGCCAGACTGGCCATCTTGGCAGCTGTCTGTGTGCTGTTAACGGATTTTCAATAAGCCAAACCTGGTGGTGTTTAAAAAAATAAATAAATAGTTTCTGTTCTCAATTTGTCCGGCTTGACTAATAAACCGAAACTTTCCACATGCACTTTATAAAAAATACTAAAACTGAGCCTTTTTATTTCAGGAGGTGGGGGATGTGGGCAGATGCACCAAAGAACCAGTACAGTCAGATGGTGTATGAGAACGGAGAACCCTGCTGGCAAGGAGGTTCCCGCAGTACTACGGTAAGTACTACTTGTATTTCACAAAAAACAATACACACACATGAATAAACTAGTGAATAGATAAATGGTACCTGCTATGTAAAGATATAGTGGCATAATGTCTACCCGAGCAGAGAAGGAAGTCGCTCTCTGTGTGTTATCTCAGTTTCTCCTTGCTTTGTTGATGTTGCCCGGCCGTGTGTGGTTTTAGTGCACGTTTGTGCATGTGAGCGTTCCCTACTGTAGCACCCACTCTCCAGTTCCCCCTCAGGTAAACACTGTTAGCTCTGTCAGCATCGTTAGCTACGAGCTGCTGGCTCAGGTGTTGTGTTGAGAGGCAATGGGAATGCTCTCGTTTTATGCACCTCTAACAGTTACCCGACATGGTAGGTGCCTTGCATGCACAGATGCTGTGGTTGAAGGCGCCTATGTTGCAACGATAACAGATGCACAAACAAGTTGAATCCAGCATTTAGGACCAGCTAGTGTGTGTGCAAAACAAGCAAATAAGTACCCAGTTTACCCATTACGCAGAGTTAGCAGCCTCAATGTTGCATGCATTGTCCAACACATGGAGCTACTTTTCCAGTAAGTCTCCACGGCATCAATTAGTCGAGCTGTTGACAACTTTTGACACACAACTGTCTTGTTGTAAATTACATCAAACCCTCTTTTTATATAAGCCCAAGAAGACTGTAGCTACACAGTTTAGAAATCACAGAAACCCAAATATGCTGTAGATAATAACAGTCCACCTTACAAACAGTACAGAGAGGCCATCCACTGCTTATTTCCAGAGGGAACGCTAAAGAAAACCAGCCTAACAAAGTACATCACACCACATTCATCCGGGACAATTTGAAGTGTTGTCGCCCAGTCTGCTCTCTGCATATCTCATTCTGCACATGTGTACCTCAGTCAATCAGTAAAAGATGTTCAGTCATCACGGCCTACTCAGCAGCCTGGCAGAAAGATGTTTTGCTCAAAGCCGAGTGATAGAAGTTGACTTGCCTTTCCCCCTCCGTCAGTCGACATTGGTTTTATGGTTAATGTTGCATTCATTCTCCTGCAGCCTTCTCTTCCCCTTCTCTCTATTTTACCAGTATTGACTCATCTGTCAGACACTTTTATGAGATCCATTTACGTTTTTTTGCGAGAATTTGCTCGATTGAAAATGCGTCACATTTGATTATCTTATTTTCTGGGCCGAGCCCCCTCTTTAAATCAGTCCAATAAATGTATGATCTCATAATATCCAGGGGCCCCCTTTGAAAAGACTAAATTGAATTCCTTTGATACGACTCCCTAACCGAGTGCAGTTGGCATAAATGAAGTCTCGTCAGAAGTCGACGCTCATTATATTTGAAATACTGAATCTGGTCTTTGGGTAGTGCTCCCGCTTTCTGCGGTGAAACACACCTCTCTCTCTCGGTATACTTGAGTCGTGGGACCGGTGATGTATTGTTTCACTGGTGGATATTGAGGTAAACCAGATTTCAAGCAGCGTGCAGTGTATCTTAAGAGTCTGCAGGGAAGGGCGAACTCTACGGTTTACGGTAACAATCAGACTGTTGTGAGCAGTAGGTTTAGTTTCTGTACAGCCGGCACAACCGTGGCTCCATATCTCCCATTTTTTTTAAGGAGAATGCTAGTTTATTACCATATAGGTCTGATTTTCTAAAACTAGATACTACATTTCCCATGTTGCACGGTAATAGCATCTTTCATTAGACCCATCCCAGCCTGCCTACCTCTTACGGGCTCCACACTTTCAGTTTGTGGTTCAGGCTTTCTGTTTTTCAATGAGTAGTCTCAAAGTCAAAAGCTAAAACAACCCCGATGACATCATCTGTAAGAGTCGATATAACACAAGCTGCCTCAACATTGAGCTTATTGCTCTGGCACCTGCACGTCAAAATTGAATCACCAATAACCACGCGCACACACATAAGGAAACACTTTGTCTTACTGAGCGCAAACACCCACTTCATATCTCTGTACAAGTTATTAAGTGACGTTATTAAGACTTTAGTACAATAATACCTGTCAGGTTCCCATCTCTGCGTCCCTCTCCGGGTGCTTGTGTTCGCCAGAGGGATCGTCTGCTCGGGGTGCAGTATGATGTGAGGGGTTGCTATGGAAACCCCCTAGAAGTGAAATAAGTTTTCCTTTCTACTCTTGTCGAAGGTGTCAAAGTCACCTATTACAGTCATGACAGCGCTAATCACTGAAACTCCTCATGTATAGTGTGATCATTTTTATTTGAAACGGACCTGATGATTACCAACTAGTGTTTTTTTTTTTGCATAAATCTACCATTTGCAGTGAATCCCATTTCCTCAGAAAAGTTTGAAATTGCTTAGAAAATGACTAAAACAAGAGGTAGGACAGCGTCTGCAATCGGCCTCCTTCGGGAGATGAAGCTGGCATTGCTCTGGACTCGGGCTAACAACGGCTCCTCTCCCTGCACCGCCTCAACTTCTCTTTCTTTGTGCTTTTCTAGGTCACATTGACATGCGGAACAGAGACAGCTTTGCGATCGGTGAAGGAGCCCAGCAAATGCCAGTACATCATGGACTTTCAGACTCCTGTGGCCTGTCAGCTGGTGCTGAAGCAGCGGGGCATACACAGTGAACTGTGACCTCTTCCCTTACTGGCCTAGTCGAGATTAATTTAGCCCCCCTTGGCTAGCCCGCGGTGACAGGCTGGGGTCCTGAGGGTTCCCTCTGACATCTGTGTTGTCAGAACATATATACTTCCAAGCAAGTCTTGCTAAGGTCAGAATCTGATATTCAGTAACACTGCACCTAGACCACTTTAGTTTTCATGAATTGTTAGTGTTGCTGTATATTGTCATAGTTTACACAAGTATTCTTCAAACTGCACTATATTCCTTATATGGGTTTACCCATACAAGATTACGATGTAAATAATTAAATAACGTGAAATTAGATCAATTACAAGCCCTAATGACATTGCCACTAACTTAACTGCTGCATCACATAACTGCTTATTCGTGAGCACAAATAAAAGGACTGTCCTTCTATTTGAATATTTTATAGTATTGCCTGTTAAGCCAGAGCGTGAGTCAGCTTCACATAGAGCCCCATTATTATCCAAAAACTCTTAAAAACACTGAAGTTTATTTTGAGTCAATCATACACCGCCCTTCAGCTGTAGATATTCACTCTAGCGCCAAATGTGTATTAACCCACAGCTGAAAGTAGTCCCCAAACAAAATGCACTATTCACTATTGTTTGAGTAACTTTTAGTAGAAACAGTGGCCAGCTTTTACGGAATTATTCAGCCTTTCAAAAAAATGTTAATATATAATTGTGACCCGTTATTACAGAATTTTTCTTTTCTTTTTTTAATCACCAGAAAGAACAAACAGGGTAAGGAAGTTAAGAAGTATTGGGAGACAAAATAACAGTTTGCTTTGGTCTTTTCAAGGTATTTTCTTGTCTTGTTGACAAAGGGAACAATACAGAAAGTGAGCGTTTTAATTGAAACAGTTGTCACTGCATTACATTTCAGTATATTAAGTCGACATTAGAATGTGTAAAGTTAAATGAATAAAGTGATATTGCATCTACTGTAACTGTATCAAAACGCACAAATAAAACGACTTCATACTTTATCATAACCTTGTCTTCAGTATGCTTTTACTATTACAGTGTTATAACATTTCCTAAACAATCGGACAATAAAACTTTTTAAAGTGGTTTAAATATTAAGTATAGGGCCTAAAGATGTCTTGGCATTAATGGATAGTTTCACAACACTTTCAATGCATTGTGTGCTGAATGCAACGTCTCTTGATTTCACACGATTCTGCCAGCGTTAACAGTCTGCTTCTTACTGTGCATGCTATTTATGGTGTTATGTAACAGACTGTGTTTTGCAGCAGGGCTCATTAAGAGGGAGCTAAATCAGCTGTCAGGAATAGGCTACCTGATATATTCTACAGCTGGGTGGCCGTTTGCCATGTTAGCAATGCAATAGCCTCAGGCCTTGTAGCTTAGGGGCTGCTGTTTCTTTATTTATCTGGCTTCAGCTCCCATCTACACTTTCAATGGCAAATCTAACTATTCGCTTTCACCTTCGGTTTTTAGAACAATGGTCAGGTTTGTATAAGGTGCCAAGTCGGTGCCAAAATATCTAAAAAACATCTTTAATATATAATACTAAGTCGTTCTTTTTTGCTGAAGTGATTTGACTTTTAATTTGAATGGAACAGGATGTGTTAATACAGCAACATCTCACAACTCACCCTGCAATCCCCATGTTTATAAGATAGAAACACTTCACCTAAACTGGCTCGACAAAAACAGTTTTAAGGATATAATATATTTTCATTCCCCTCCATCTCAATGAAACAGGGATATCACTGTATTTTAATCTCTCCCTCTTTTAATGTTTCAGATATGCAACGCATGCCAAAGCTGATGTCGGTATAACAAACACTGAGCCTTCACAGGCTCCTAACTCTACCACAGCTGAAAATACTGCTAATCACACACCGTGTCAAGAGCAGCACTCTAATATTGCAGAAGGCATTTGCTGGCATCTGGAGAAAACTTTATATTGCATCATTGCCATATGGTGTGATGTAATGGTGTCTCGTAAAGAACTTTTCCTTGGTTTAAAACCTGCTGTCACAAAGGACCAAATGTGCCAATCTGCAGCACACAGCATAGGTAGGAACCACGTTGGGAGATTGCAATTTGAATGGGCAGTTATGTGGAAGGAAAAAAATAAGCTAGTACTGGGAGTTTCTTCACTGGGACTGGCCATTGATGTGTTGTGACAGATCAAAAAAAAAAAAGAAAAGAGGGAGTTGTGGGAAGAATTCAGTAGGAAAAGTGAGCACACACTATCACATACATGCACACCTCCATTCAGTACATTTGCACATGAAGGGGAAGGGATGGAAAGTCTTTCCAGTTGAGCGTGGGCGTATTTGTGTGTTGACTCCAAATTGCTAAAAGGGCCCAGAAGCTTTATATTGCATTAAATCTCCAACTCAGCTTTGTAGAAACTAGTTCAGGGTACCCGTTATCTAGAGTGGGAGACAAGGCCTTTGCCTGACTGACGCCCACCACAACCCAGCACTTCTTTCACTCTTTTTGGAGATCGTTTTAAGCTCCGTCTTTTGAAGGGAGGCCAGTTATACCTCCAGGGCTGAGGGGGAGAAAAAAGTGTGTTTGCGTTGAGTCGGCATGCGACAGTCTCACCCATCTCCCTTTACTCCCTTTTATTTATCAGTGTTAGGGTTGTGAAGATACAGTACATGCAGTGTATAGATCTTCAGGCCTAAACATGTGTATCGAGGGAAGTAGGAAGGTATCAAACAAAGTACTTTATTGGTTTGTATCGTGATCACTTTGAAGAGTACTGGTATTGCTAATATCTTTTATTTATTTATTTATTTTTTTAAAGATAATCAGCCCTTTACTATGACTTGTCTCAGTGCGGTGCTGAGACAGAAATGGGAGACCAGACAAGTTTAAAAGTAATTCATAAATCTATTTATTCACAACAATCAAACATGGAAGTCAGTAATCACTCGTGTATGTAAAAAAAAGTTTGAAGCAAACAAAAAAAGATTTGGCCTGGATCATCGGCTCATAAAGCTGACGATCCAAATCCTGGAAGACAAAGAATGACTTTTTTCAATTTTTTCGACACGCTATATACTATGACTTTTTTTTTTTACTGTTTTCAACATGCTATACCAGGGGTCACCAAACTTTTTTAAACAGAGCTACTTCAAGGGTACCGAGTAGTACGAAGGGCTACTTATTTGATACAAACTTCCTGAATAACAGTTGCACAGATCACCTTAATAATATATGCGAAGAGTGATCACTGACTGGACTCCAGCGGGATTATGCCTCATCACCTCAGCATCACCAGCCCTTGATTGTCTTCCTTCAAGATGGAGTCCATTTGCCAAAGACGTTGCACCATTCAAATTTGTACGATGTGTAATAAATTATTGTGAAATTCTATTGAAGTCTCTCCTGATTGAATGGCTTTTATATGATCGTTTTTTACTGTTTGACATGCTGTACTATGAGGTTTTTTTGACATGCTGTACTATGTACGGGTTCTTTGTCTTCCAGGATTTGGGTCGTCAGCTTTATGAGCCAAATCTGGGTGAGGGAATCCCTTTTTGTAGCTTCAAACATTTTTTTACATATCCGTACACGACTGATTACTGAATTCCATGTTTGATCGTTGTTATGAATAAATATATTTATGAATTACTTTTAAACTTGTCTGGTGTCCAATTTCTGTCTCAGCACCGCACTGTGACAAGTCATAAAGCAGTCATAGAATAGCGTGTCGGAAAAAGTCGTAGTATAGCATCTCGTCAAGACAATTAAACAAGACATAATTGCTTTGTAATAATGGCTGAGAGTCTGAAAACAAGCTGAGGTATAAATTTAAAACCTACGCTAAGTCAAAAACACTGGTAGATATGCTGTAGATCAGCATCACACATTGCTTTGCTCAGTAAGAGAAATAAAGCTGCACATGAAAAAAAGACTGACTGAGGAATGGAAAGATACAGCAATACAAATGACTGAGCCTGGGATGAAGCTTGAGGGAAAGGCATGCTTTGAGAGGAGGAGAAAGACCAACTGCGTAGAAAACAGCAGTAATGGGGGAGGAGAGAAATGTGAAACTGGAGGGGAGGTATAAGCAGCAATGCCTATCTAGTGTAGGGTAAATGTTTGTTTGTGCTCTCACGTCGGCAAGCGAGGCTCAACACTTCCCCTGTGGAGTGGATGAGTGTAAGCGTGTCACGGTTGGAGGCTGGAAGGCCGAGCTGTGATAGCATGTGGTTACCGGGGGCCTCCTGCAGTTGGCTTCTCCCACTTACAGTAGAAGAGGCTGTTGGAGAGGAGGTTCAGGGTCTGGAAAGCCATGGATTCAATTTTTTGATTCCCCTAAATAAAACAGAATAATCATAATATACAGGGTATATTCAATAAACACACGGCCAAAAAGGTGAGCAATAATATATTTAATGTCAGTTTGTAGCTAGTAATCAGCACTTTGATATTTGAGCTTTTTCAAGTACAGGTGCATTGCTTAAAAAAGTAACTTAAGTGGTTTTAAATGTCAAGGGGAGAGATCTGACAGCATCAAACAAGGAAAGACTTCACTGACATAATTCCTTCAATTTCAATAGGTCCTCACTGAAATTGTTACCTTCCCTGCTCCAGTTCACCACCATTTACAGTAGAATTTACAGGTTAAATGTAGGAGGATGCAACAAATGTTAACATTAACTGACACCAAAGACCAGATAATAGCTGAGTTGGGAGGAAATAAGCCATTATTTCACCAGGGGCTTCCCTTTTCCTAACTTCATGTCCAAATCACTATATTTATTTATATATTTTGCCATTTGGTAAGGACTTTTAAATCATCAGTTTATCCATTCATTATCAAACTTTCAACACATCATTCCAACCATTTATTTGCTTAACATGAGCAAAAATGTCATACAGGCGTTTGCATGTTGGAGTTTGTGTATGCACCATTCCAGCTGTTAAAGATGGTCTGGTCCTGTGCCACCAGCAGCACATCTTGATCTGGAACTTGATCAACAGTTGCAATCCACAACATTTTCCTTGCCCTTCTGTGGCCGTTTCTCCCTTTGCAATTTGTTTTTTTCTTCTACTTGTAGCCCCCCCGTTAGGATGATCGATGAGAAGAGATGCAGAGAGGATGGTTAATCTTTCAGGGAGAGAAGGACCTGATAGAAAATGTGTGGCAGGAAAAGGATTACAGGGATCACCACTCTGTTTCTTTCTCTGCCTTCAATTCCTTGTATTTCAAAGAAGGGGACAAGAAAGACCAGGTCAGACTGAAGAGATGTAAAATGAACATAACAATTGGAATGAAAAGCAGAGCGGGATGGAGAGAGAGAAGAGAGAAACTGGGATACAACAAGAGGAAGAGGGAGAGCAGCGGGATCCTGGTGGGCGAGGGGAGGGGATTCTGGAGGGCTATATTGAGCTCAGTTTCTCCAAAGGAGCTGCTTAATGAAGACAGAGTTTGTAAGTAATTATTGGTTATCAACCTGATAATAGTCATTGCTCCATTTTGTGGAGCAGTCTCCTCATACTTACACAATTATGGCAATTATTAACGAAGCACCGGCTCTGCGTTGCGGTTTTCATATGGTGTGGCCAGGCTCGGCCATTATTTTTGCGTTACATAATACCGGTTCCCGGGGAGGGGCGCGGAAAAGTAATTGCTGCATTCTTCTAAGCAATGGGGTAAACAATGAGGAGCCAATTTAGCTTTCAAAACAAATACCAGAATTGTATTTAGCAAAGAAAAAAAACTGACTGTGGGCTATAACCAGCTGCTAATATTGTACAGACATTTGGTCATTTTGCGACGCCCCAAATTCAGATCAAACACGTGGAAAAATGGGCCGAATTGAGCGAGGTGAAGAAGAACAGTAATGGAGGAGCCAAGTGGGCATGGCAGCCTCCACTGTGCAGGAACTGTATACATTTTAAAGGCTGCAGCAGAGTACCTAATAGCTTTTCATTAGCGGCTGAGACAAACGGATAGAATCTGAGGATGCGGACAGATGGCCGGCCAGACAGACAGCTCTCTGCTCCATTACCCAGGGACACATCACACACACACACACACCACACACCACACACACACACACAAACAAAAGAGCACTTGACTTTTTTTAAGCATGCCTGCATTAGGATGCATTAGGTTAATCTACAAATCTGCAAACTGAACAAGAGACACACTCACAGTGTAGCCGAAGGACTTATAGCCTAAACACTTTTTTTCTGAGTGAAATCTGTCTCTTTAAATAATAGAGTTTGCTTGCCAAGTATTGGATTTGAGATGAGTGCTGAGAGGGAAAAGAGATACAATCACTGTTCAGCTGAAAAAGCAAAGAAGTCAGCAGTTACTCTTCCACACTGCGTTTGATTCAGTCATCAATTACTACAGCAGCAGTTGTGATAAATAAAAGTCAACAACTGACTGACTGCAAAGCCCCATCGTTGGCACTCACTGTAGCATACTGGGTTATAGACCTTCCGTATACACACACTATTGATCTCTATAAGTTCTTCTTCAAAGTCCACACATTTCATCAAAGGTGGTGGAGGGGGGTGGCATTTTTCGTAAGCGAAAGGACCAGTGATACACCTGAGGATGAATAGGGAGGGAGGGTGGGCTCCTCTGCCACGACAGATATGGATCAAAAGTATCTATTGCAGAATCAAAGTCAGCACCATCAATATTTCATCATAGAAGAACCTAGTGGTTGCACACCCCCTCCTGCAACCTTTCCTTTTCTGTCCTTTGCTACTGTTTTTGTGGGCTCGAGGCCACTTAAAGAAATCGTGCCAGATTTTGTTGTTTCACTTATTGTAAATACCTCTACTCACATACAGCAACTCATTTGTATAAGTAATTAGATCCTGGTCACTGGCAATATTGTACATTTCAACTTTAAATTGTTCTTTTTTTTTTTTTTTTCATTGTGTTGTCCTAATTTTGAGTCTTAGGCCATTTTTGGTGAAAAATCACCACAATCCCTTTGAACCTTAAAGGTAGTTGGGAGACTAAAAGGGACAGATGAAGAAGAAAGAGTCTATGGCCATGCTAGCAGCTCAGGCAGTGATGCAACAGGGCAAAAAAGCCCCAAATTACATCACTCCGGTTCCACCAACCCCAAGGTTCTCTTCTCTTCTTCTACAACAAATTAATTTCTCAAACCGATGGACCATCTCTCCCTCATTCCTGTCATTCTACAAAGCAAAGATTGAGACCATCTACCATCTCCCTGTGCCCCAAGGTTCAGTACTCGGTACTCGTTAAAAATGGCCAAAACTTAATAATAGTGCCTCAGTAACTAAACCGCCATCACAAAGCCAATCATATTGGCGGGAGTCTCCAGGTTCAGTGTGAGTAAGGCCGCTTCAGTATTCAGTGTGGGAGACGTCGTCTGTGCACAGAATACATTATTTCATTTATTGTAGACATACACAAAAAAGATTAAAACTTATGAGAAATCTATGCAAATAAAACTCCAAGAAGTTAAAATAACTTTAGTTAGACAGTATGTCGTATTCACGAACACAACCGCAATGTGTCAGAATTCAAATTTTCTCCAATCCCAAAAGAGGGAGCCAGTAACATTCACGCTGCGCAGAAACTAGGCTACACTACATTATTTTTAGAAGAAAATTGTGTCTT